GATGCCGAGGAGCTGCTCACTGCCGCCCAGAGAGTCCTGGTCCCATCGGGTGTCGCGTCCGCCCGCAGTGAGGCACCCGGTAGGGTCGCCTTCCTTTCAGGTGCCAAGCGTAGGAGATGCGGTGGTCGTAATAATAGGCCCACTTGGGAGGCCGTAGCTATTCCTGCTTCGGTAGTGCCTCCCCAGGATTATGGGTCTCCTCGGGGCAAGTCGTGCTTTGCGTCTCCTGCGGCTTCTATAGTATTGGCAGTGCTGGTCACCTCTTGATCGGCCGTGTGACCAGCGAAGATCGCACGATGTCGCAGCGAACCCAGCGAAACCGCAGGCTTTTTCTCTCTCGTAGGCACCCTGCCGACGAAGGGGGAGCCGATGGTCGAATCATTCCTGGCCCGAGGCCCTCGGTGGCCACGGACCCAGAAACCCGGTGGGTTCGGCTCCCTGTGGAGCCGTCGTCTACTGTTGCTATCGTCGCGCCCCTCCTGGGGGTGCTCAAACTTTTCGAATTCGGTGGCATCTTACATAACAGCGTTGTGCCTCGTGTGCCAAGGGCCGTGATCCTAAAATGGGTCCTGGCATGCTTGTCGAGGCCTGGGCGACGCCATGTGCGGCGCCCATTCCAAGGTGGTCGTCTGTGCACTGCGCGGCGCTCTCTGTGCACATTCCGAGGCCAGTTTTTAGGGCGGGCCGGGCGTCTCGCCTGAGACTTCCTCACCAATTATAACACTGCAGCTAAAAACGTGTCAACAGTTTCACAGATGGACGGCGGGTCGTTTTCAAAACGTGGCTCTCGCCTTGGCGCCGCGCACATCCGTTTTCAAACTTTGCAGAAAGCTTCACGGGTTGAGGGCGGTACCTTTTCAAACTGTGATTCTCCCCGTAGCGCCGCGCACATTCGTTTTCAACATTTGCAAGAGCTTCACGGATTGAGGGCGGATCGTTTTCAACATGTGGCTCTCGCCGTAGCGCCGCGCACATTCGCTTTCACAAGTTGTAAGAGTTTCACGGGGTAAGGGCGGTACCGTTTCAACAGGTGGCTCTCGCCGTAGCGCCGCGCACATTCGTTTTCAACATGCGCAGAAGTTTCACGGATTCCCATGGTCAACTTACCAGAAATGGTGTTTGGGAAGGACTCGGGACCATGCGGGTGCAACAGTTCTGTTGGTTCGCAGTGTTATGTGGCCTTCTGGCGCGATTCCCGACCGTCAAGGCACAGCAGTCACGTTGACACGTGGCGTTGAAATCCCGGGATCAATGTTTTGGCATGCTTCAGGGTCTTCAAACGGTTGTCTGCCAACCAGGCAGTTCCCTCATTGGAAATGAGCCGTTGTAGGGGCCTATGAAGAGGGAGCTTGGAGGGAGGGTGTATTCCGACATCGTTGGTGACTCTTGGGTTTACACGAGTCCTCCTTCATCCTCGTCTTCCTCTTCCATCTCCTCCTCCATATCTTCCTCCCCCTCCCCCTTCTCCACCTCCTCCTCCTCTTCCTCGGGTCGCTTACGGCCCCAGGGGAAACCGTGCAGTCTGGTCCCTGGGAGCGCCATCTGACGGATCGGACCACCCGCGTCGGTGCTCGCAGTGCCGATCTTGCAGGTCGGTGGATGACAGAGACCGAACTCGGACCCGACCAAACTCGGACCCGACTGAACTCGGACTGGGGGGGTTCTCCGAAGGGCTTACGTGGTCGACCCCCCTTCCTCCTCTTCCACCTCCTCATCCACCTCCTCTACTCCACCTCTGCTCCTCCTCCTCCTCCTCCTCCTCCTCCTCCTCCATCTCCATCTCCTCCTCCCCCTCCCCCTCCTCCCCCTCCACCTCCTCCTCCTCCTCCTCCTCCTCGGGTCGCACTACGGCCCCAGGGGAAACCGTGCAACTCGGACCCGATTCGGACCCGACCAAACGACTCGGACCCGAGTGCCGCGCTGCAGCGGGAACCTCCAGTCCTAGTTCAGCCAGGTGCGAGTCCGAGTCAGGTCGGGTCCGAGTTCAGCCCCTTAGATCTGCCAGGCCACCCGACCGCGTTTCGCGCATCGCAGCTTGCGCTGGAGAAGCGCCCGTCGCCAGGCCCGTGGTGCGATGGTGCGCGGGCGCGGAGGTAACCTCGCGTCGCGCATCGCGGGGCGCGGGCCTCGAGTTTCTTCTTCTTCTTCTTCTTCTTCTTCTTCTTCTTATTATTATCCTCCTTCTCCTCCTCCTCCTCCTCCTCCTCCCCCTCCTCCTCCCTCCTCCCCCTCCTCCTCCTCCTCTTCCTCCTCCTCCTCCTCCTCCTGCTCATGCTCTTCCTTCTCCTCCTCCTCCTCCTCTTCCTCCCCCCCGCGCGCCAGATACCCACCCTGGCCTGGCCAGAGAGGCGTTTGTGATCCAGGGCTCGGGGTCTGCGGGGCCACTCGCCCCACGAGCTGGACAGGTCGGAGGGTCCCACTCCCGGGCGAAGAGAACTATGCACGTGCACCGATCCTGACAACGTCCATCCTGGACCCAGGATCGGTGCATATACCTTCCTGGCCAAGGTAAGAGGGCGTATGCGCCGATCCTGGGTTCAGGATGGGCCTGGCCAGAATCGGTGTATGTGCATAGTCCTCTTTCCTCTACACCCCCCCCCACCCATCCTCCCAGATAGGGCAGGGGGAGGAGGCACACGCGCAGCGCATGCGCACGCAAACGCAAGCAAGCGTGCACGCAAGACGCGTCGTCGCAAGATCACGCGGACACAGCGCCCTGACTGTGAGCGAGCGGACCTGCGCATGAGCGATCTGGGTGCGACTCAGCGGAGTGTTCTGACTGTGAGTTAGCCTGCGTATGAGTGATCTGAGTGTGAGTTGTGTGCTCTGAGCGTGCATGAGTCTGAGCGTGAGTGGCTCAGTATGAGTGATCTGGGAGTGATGAAGGGGAGAGGGAGGCGGGAGCGAGTGAGTGAGGAGGTGGAGGCGTTCAAGTAATAAGAAGAACCCCATCTTAGGATATTGGGGTAAGGCAGCCGTCAGAGAGTTGTGTCCTCCCTTCTTTTAGGGCCAAAACAGCAGGTTCTCAGAGCCTGGCTTGACATCTTCTGGCAATTCTGGTGTGTACGAAGGAGTCCCAGAATACAGCCAGACACAGTGTATCTTTGCATTCAAGAGGTACGCGTGGTGTTTTCGCACAGTCGGAAACAGAGGTGTCGTTCGTGACAGCGTCGGCCTGCCCCGTGTGGTTGGTTGTGGCAGGTCCTGAAGAGGATAGCCAACCACACGCCGAAACGCTGGAGACGAACTGGACCAGGGGTGCCCGAAAGAGTGGGCATACTCAGTCCTAGCCCAGGAAGGGAACCAAAGGAAGGTGCGCAGCCAACTGCTTCTCGGCGGCCCTGGCGCGGTTGTCCGTTGTCAGGCGAGCTTGAGGCGGGTGTACAGAGAATGCGTTGTATGGTGCACTAGTATGGATTTGCTTGGCGAATGATTCAGAGACATCCCCACACTCTGGGCGCGACCGGGCAAGTGCCCAATTTCTTGGTGGATCTTCCGTGGAGCGCCCAAATGCTACGCCCTCTTCATCGCGATGAGCATGGGGCTTTCAAATGAGAGAAGTGTGGGGGGCAATACAATCAAACCATGTGAAACATCCCCACCGTATGGGCTTGAACGGTCAAGGGTCCCCCGTCGATGGCGGTTCCTCATTAGGATGCCCACATGCAAGACCTGCTATGTCGCAGGGTGCCCAAATACCACGCTTGCTATGTCGAGCGGAGCCCAAGGTATGAGTGTACATGGATGTGACTACGCCAGGCGCGAACGAGTCTGAGTGTCACTGGGTCGTCTGCAAGTCGGCGAGTAGGAGTGTGAAGCTTCCGCGCGTATGAGTAGCAGCTCTTCTCCTCCCGCCCCCCTCTACCTCCCGCGGCCCTGCCCCCTCCTTTTTTGGCCTCGTTGGCAAGGGTCCCAGAGTCGATTTTGCGAGGATGTCCCCACCGAGACCGCTGGTTTGGTATTCTTCTGGCGGCCGCTCCGGATTCGACGGACATTGTGCAGGGAACGTAGTTGCTGGCATCGCATCCTCCCACGCCTGGGTTCAGGGTGACGTGAGTTTACAGGACAAGTTCCTTTCACTGAGTCGGATTACGACAAAGCTCAGTATGAGTGCATCTGAGTGCGAGTGGTCTGGGTGCAATTGAGCCTGAGTAATCGTGCATTTGAATGCGAATTAGAGTGTGAGCGAATGCCAGTTGGAGCATGACAAAGTTTAGTATGAGCGCATCTGATTGCGAGTGGACTGAGTGTGAACGAGTATCAGTATGACTGTGTCTGCAAGAGTGAGCCTGAGTGTGAATGAGTCTGTGTGAATGAGTCTCAATCTGAGTGAGCATGAGAGTATGAATGCGTCTGGGTCCAAGTGTGAGCGAAAATGTGCGTGGGTGAGTATAATTGTGATTGGGTCTGCGTTTGAATCAAGCTGAGCGTGAGAGATCTGAGAGGGAGAAGGCGGGAGGAGCGGGAGACGGAGGCGTCACACGAAAATTAACAACCCCATGCACGCAAGTAGTTGAAAGTATGCGTTTGGGGGTATCCATATCCCGCTCTACTTCAAGCGCACGCCTGCTTCAAGACTCGATATGTGTGTTTGTATATGTTTGTGCTATTCTCTGGGCGGGTTCAAACCCAATCTTCTTTATCCGCCTTCGACTTCATGCTTCTACCTACTTCATCCGACGCACGGGTAAACCCATATTCAGGGAAAGGGGGAATGGGGGGCTGTCAAACCGTAACTTTCGTATCGACATTTGGGGGTCTCACAAGAGGCATATTGGATTAAACAATCGGGTCCCGCTACCTTCCCGTGTCCGCATAGAATTCAAACCATGGTCCAAGCATTTGGGCTTCCCCATTGCTAGAGGTAGAACCGACTGAGAGTGCCAGGACACGCAGTGCCCATCGACCCCCATATTCATACATCCCGTTGCCGTTTGCAGATCAAGATCTTAGCCATCTCACGATGTGTTCTTGCACGCAGAGTTGTCTTTTTCTGAGCCATGCCAACATCGACAAACATGATCGCATCCAAAGCATCAATGCACGCACAGACGGATTCTACTAAGCATGAACATGTTCCGAGTGATACGGCAGCAAGTGCAAAGCTTCTGACCAAGAAGAAGAAGAAGAAGAAGACGAAGCGTTTGGAATCAGCCCTTGGAAACGTAGAGTTTGCGGTGCCAACTGAATTGCCTGTCAAGCTCGAGGTCCCGTCCAAACTTCAGGAGGGTGCGGGGCGAAAGGTTAGGCTTAGGAGAGAAGCAAGTCGACCAAACTTCATTCCAAACACGTCTACGCCTGCACACCTGGTCGGGTCAAGAGTTGCCAATCTCTTCGCTGATCTGGTTCCCGGGCTGGAGAAGCCTGCATCAACACTTCAGAAGTCATTGCTAGCACAGCAAGCAGTTGTAGAAGCGCCTGCCTTAGTGGTGCCCAAAGCATCGCCGCGGCCCCCCTGCAAACAACCTCCTACGGTTGTCGTGACCCCTAGCAGAGAGGAGCCGGCCCAAAAACACCTGAAGAAGAGAAAAGGCCTGAAACGCAAGTCTTTGGCTGCTGTTCCAGCGGGAGGCAGCGACATGCCTGAGGCGCAAGGCTTCGGCTTTTTGGAGGTGCCCGAGAAGAAGCCCAGAGTGGCCAAGGAAAAGGTGATAGCAGCCAGCGTGGAGGACCAGAAAGCTCGGCAGAGGAATGAAGAAACAAAGATCGTGAAGGTGGGTTCCGTTGCCTATTGCGCGGCGCACGGAGTCGTGGTGAGAGGCGCACGAGTAGCAGCTTTTGAGACTTTCACGGACGTGGCCGGTGACTTCGGGGAGCCTCTCCTTGCCGCACTGCGTCTGCAAGGCTACGCCGCACCCACTCCCATTCAGGCACTTGCCTGGCCGATCGCATTGCGAGGTAAGGACATCGTTGCAGTTGCGAAGACGGGCAGTGGCAAGACTTGTGGATTCTTGCTACCAGCGCTTTCATGCCTTCGCAAATTTGGGCCAATGAGGTTGCCGAAGGGGGGGGGGCCTGCCTGCCCTAAAGTGCTTGTCATGGCTCCAACGAGAGAGCTAGCACAGCAGATCGCTGGCGAAGCCCAGAAATTTGCTCATGTTGCAGACTCGCGGACTGTCGCCATTTATGGCGGCGTGCCAAAGGGCGACCAAGTCCGGGATCTTCAGCAAGGAGCTGACATTGTTATCGCTACTCCCGGCCGCCTCTTGGATTTTTCTGTGGGGAGGCCTGAGAAGCTTCAGGCTCCAACGATCACCATGAAGCAGGTGTCGTATCTAGTTCTGGACGAGGCAGATCGCATGCTGGACATGGGCTTCGAACCTGACATCCGCAAGATCATAGCTGAGTGCCCACCGTCTAAACCTATTGGAGACACTGATGCTGGCCTCGATTTGTCGGGCTCCGTGCGGCAAACTTTGTTCTTCACTGCGACATGGCCCAAGACAGTCGAGCGCACGGCATCATCATTGACAGCTCCAGGGGCTGTGCAGCTGCGCATCGGTCTTCGAGGAAACATAACTGCGTAACCATAGACTTCCAGAGGTCCGCGCAGATTTCTGGGATCGGCGCTGGCCCCCCTCCCTGGCGCGCGGAGCAGGGGCGGCGCCGCAGGCGCCACCAGGGGGGTCCAGTGCAAATGCAAGAAATCAGCGAGGATCTCTAGGTGTTTATGTTTATGGCGTTATCGCTCTTCTAGGCCAGGCGGGTTCAAACGGTGACAAGTTGACAGCTAACACCAGTGTAATCCAGAAAGTCATGGTCATGGACGAGAAGCAAAAGCTAGCACATCTGAGCAAGATTCTCAAGGATGAGCTTGGCCCAGGTGAAACTTGTTTCATCTTCGCCAAGACTAGACACACCTGCGACTACTTAGAGGGTAAGCTCTGGGACGAAAAAGAAGACCTCATGATTGGCACCTGGTGCCGCGCAATCCATAGCCACAAGGAGCAGTGGGTTCGAGACGAATCTTTGGCAACGTTCCGCAATATAACAATCGGTAAAGACAATGGAAGGAGGGGCATCTTGGTGGCTACAGATGTGGCTGCGCGAGGTCTGGACATTCCAGGAGTTGCCTTGGTGATCTGTTACGATTTCGGCGGAGGAAACCTTGGAGAGAACGCTGGAGTGGAGTCTTACGTGCACCGGATTGGTCGCACCGGACGTGCTGGCAAGATCGGCAAGGCTTTCACTTTTTTCACAGAGCACGACGCGGGTGCTTTCAAGCTTTGCCAGCTTTTGGACGAGGCGAAGCAACGCGTGCCATATGAGCTGAGACACCTCGCCGAGAAGAACGGCAAAGGCGGCAAGGGCTCGAATGGTCGCAAAGGCGGCAAAGGCGGTAAGGGTGGTAAGGGTGGAAAAGGTGGCAAACGTGGCGCAGGTGGCAAGAGCAAAGGAATCCGAGGTGGCAAATCCTGATGTAACGACCTCGAACTTGGAACTGACTTTGAACGCCTTCAGCAATCGACATTATTGTGTTACAGAAGCGTAGGTGTCAGT